ATGTCTAATATTAGCCAATGGCTAATAAATTCTTAGATTTTACTCGCCAGTGTGTGAGTTTGAGGCTGAGTATAAGTTTAGCACAGACATATTTTCATTCGCCAAATGAGTTTTTCTCTCCATCAAGCGATCCGTGATATTTTTCAGTTCATCTCAATGGATGCGCAGTGCCACCTGTATTTGTGTATTTGGAGTACCGTAGACTCTAGTGTGAAGGTGCACGACTCGCCGTCGCTTTCTCTCACTCGCGCAAAGTGAGAGAGAGAGAGAGTGAGTGAGAGAGTCTTACATAACATGCAGAATTGATGCGCTACATGTAAACGATATTCTTTGTTGTATTTTCCTGTCAAAATAACAGAGTTCCTTTGGAATTCTTCAGCTTTTAAGAACTGCCGCTTTCTCCGTTAGTGGGCGGAACGAATGCGCAAACGACATTGGCTGGTGCTTACCTATTATCGTCATTGTTTGATTTCAGCGAATCAGTTCCAGCGAATCAGTTCCAGCGAATGCACACAACCTGATTAATATTCATCAATCCAGCAGCTCATTAATCCTTGGTGCATTTTATATTGTTCTTATTAGTAGAATTCGTATAATAATAATAATAATAATATCTTATAAGTATTATTGTTCGTTTTTTTTTACAGGAACACTGAATGACCAAAAAAAGCACCAGCACCCTGGGCAAAAAATTTAATGCGATTTTCATGCGAATCTCGTCAGTAAAGCCACTTCTGGTGATTAGTAGTAGCCGTAGATCACTGACAAGCTACACAAAATCGTGTTCAGGCGATTCATTGCCGATTTTGAATGCGATTTTGAATGCGATTTTGTGTAGCTTGTCAGTGAACTACGGCTCTGTGTAGTAAATGACACTTCATCTGAAAGCACATGCTGGAGATGTACTACTAATCACCACCAGAAGCGGCTTTACTGACGTGCACAGCCCTAATATTTATATATTAGTGCTGTCAATCGAAAAAAAAAAAAAACAAAAATAAAAAAAGACATCGGCTGAACTTTACTGGGGACAAATCAGCATGATCAGCAAAAACTAGTAGCATATAGGGATGTAACAATTCACTAAACTTGCGATGCGATAAAATTCACGATACAGATTACACGATACAGTTTTCTTACAATTTATTTATAACAGTGCTGTCAATCGATTAAAAAAATGTAACTAATTAATTGCAAATTTGTATGAAATTAATCGCGATTAATCCCACCTAACATTAAAGTTTTGAAATATACTTTTATATTGCAATAATTTCACATTCAATCTTCAAATGAACGTACAAACAACATAAAGACAGTATCAGTAACATAAGGCCAGTATCAATGATACCAACTGATTTCTCTATAAAATTGCCCTCCCCCCAATATTTCACCATTGACTATAGCCATTCAACATTACAGTATAATTGAGAGCTATCAATAGCACGCGCTGCGAGCACAGTACCATTTCCACACTCGTTTGACTCGTGCCTGGCGCTGAAGTGAAGTGGGGCGCGCGTCTGAAACGTCTCCCGTTCTCAGTCGTTCTGCGACTGAATAAATGCACTTCTTGTCAAGAGAAAAAGTGACAGAAGCAGCAGTTGTGAGTGGGTTGTTCGTGCAATTGAAGAGCACGCGCTGCGAGCACAGTACCATTTCCACACTCGTTTGACTCGTGCCTGGCGCTGAAGTGAAGTGGGGCGCGCGTCTGAAACGTCTCCCGTTCTCAGTCGTTCTGCGACTGAATAAATGCACTTCTTGTCAAGAGAAAAAGTGACTGAAGCAGCAGTTGTGAGTGGGGTGGCCAACCCTAGCCCCGCCCCTGCGTTAATTGCGTTAAATATTTTTAACGCGTCAAACTGAAAAAATGACTCGCCTGCATTAACGCGCTATATATATAGTATAGTATAGTATTTCAGTCTGGCGAGTAAACACAAAAATTTACTAGCCAATGGCCATTCAATTGCCAAGGTGTCCGTAGAGGGTTGTGGATAGGACTTGTATTTTAGACTGAAACAACAGTTTGAAGTTAGTGAACAAAGAAAGTCATGCCAGTTTGAGTGTGAGTAAATATTAATGACAAATTTTTCATCGTTGGGAACAGTTCCTTCAAATATACAGTCTTGCACGTGTGCAGTCATCTGTGTATGCATGCAAGCACACCAGCCGTGTGCAGCGAAAGGCTATTTGAAAAGCAGCACTCTTTGTTTCCTGTATTATTTACCATATCATCCATGTCTACATGACGAATGTGCGAGAGCTTTGCTCTTTGATCCCATAAACTGTGTTTCATCAAGGGTTTCGTTCAATTACATGTGCAACAGCTGCTTTTGCTTTGCATTTTTTCCCTGTCATTCCAGCAAACTTTGAATGCCCTTGAGTGTGCTTTGCAGTTACACTGTTTCACAACCTTGTGCTTAACACACCAGCTGATGCATCTCTTTCTGCTATTATGGTTGGCTCTGACTTGCTTCTTATATTCACCTTGGGAGACAGAAGGCTTTTGGATCTACAAATCGTCATCATTTACCATGGATTTACTGTAGTAACACTAACTGCACCGTGGTATTATGGCAGGAATGTGGGATATTCATATTGAATTTTATTATATTATTAATTTAGACACGTTTTAACTGTATTAAAGGAGTAATGGAATATAATTACAGTATTTTTGTAATTAAACTATAGTGCATTTATACTAAATGTATTTAGACTACTGATTTTCATACAAATACCTAGAAACCATAGGTACAGAGTTACATTTTACCATGGTATTGAGGTGCTATATGTGTGGTTTTAATTGTGGATATCATGATATAAATGTATACACTATGGAAGACCAGTGGTTACTTTTAATAAAACTCATACAGTCAGAATAATTAAATTTCATCATATAAAAATGTGGTTGTTACAATTTTTTATAGGGGTGTCCCCGACTAAGGATTTTCATAGTCGAATCGGAATTTTCCAATCTTGCATATAGTCGACTGATAGTTGAATCATATGTTTGGAGGGCGGGGGGCAAAATACATTAACAAGAGTCAAGTCAGACATTTGACAGTCATAATAACCGACGTTAACACACAGGGGAAATTTGTAACGGACGCCTCGATTAAAAGGTAGTTAACATTAAAAATCAGCGAAACCCTACATTTTTTTTAAATAGTGCTCTCATTATAATGTTATGTAGGCCTATATGACAGTAGTTATTAATGTTCTGCATTTTTGTTTTGAGCTGCGCATGCTGAAGATGACCAGTAGAATGAAGTATTTGATAGCAGGTTTTTAATCAATGGGATCTAACTCATCATTTATCTCATATAGAATACACTTCGTTATTTATACAACATAACGTTAATATGACGACTTATAGGCTATCTGCACAAAATGCCCCGAATGCATGAACGTGTCTGCGCGGCTCTGAATGAACTCTTTTTGTGGACGCGTTCTTCATGCAACAACGTGCAGAAACACGGCAACTAAACTCTAAAAATTCACAGCGTTTTATTATAATAATGTTCTCATTATAATGTTTTGTAGCCTATATGACAGTCTCAGACATAGTTATTAATATTATGCATTGTTGTTTGTCGACTGCTCGACTTGAAGCGGATCATCACCATCAGACCGATCGGTGTGTGACATCAAAGTACCGCAAGAGCTATAGAGAGCAGACTTTTGATGCTTTTGAATCGCTCTCGCGGTACTTTGATGTCATGCACCGCTCAGTCTGTGCACTTAGCCTATTGCTCGTGTGATATTGCTTAATTATATGATGTAAATATGAGACAAAAACTCAAACGGGCATTTTTGCCCCATATCTTGAATTTGATGGGCATTTTAACTACGTTCTCTAGGCTCCATCATGCAGTGAGTTGTTGCCCTGCCTCATATTTGTTATCTATCAACTGTATGAAATGTCAGATGAGCCACATAGGTCTGGGGCGGGGCAAGTGCGTTAAATGCGTTAATAATTGTAACGCTTTATTTTTCACCGTAATTAATCTAATTAACGCGTTAAATTACCAGCACAATTACCAGAGTTCCACAAAAGGAGTTAACTATTTAAAATTGAAAACATTTTAAAAAGATTGAAAAATTTAACACACTTGCCCCGCCCCAGACCTACGTGGGTCATCTGACATTTCATACAGCTGATTGATGACAAATATGATGCAGGGCAACAACTCACTGCGTGATGGAGCCTAGAGAACGTAGTTAGAATGTCCCTAAATGTGATACTGATCTTATACAACAGTTCAATAAATAAGAAGTGAATATTGTGTTATTTTAGACACAGTGTTATCTGTTTTGCTCAATTTTGCCAACGAAAATATAAAGACAAAGCAGAACTGTTTGTCTCCGAGCAACACATAGCGGCATTTCATTTCTTAATCCACGTTTTTAACGAATTGGGTGAACCATTAGGCTCGCTGGATTTGAAGCGGCGCTGCACAGACCGATTGGTGTGTGACATCAAAAGTACCGCGAGAGCGATTAAAAAGCATAAGGAGTCGTCTGCTATGGCTCTCGCGGTACTTTGATGTCACACACTGATCGATCTGATGGTGATGATCCGCTTCAAGTCGAACAAGCCTAATGATTCAATGGACCATTC